TCCGGGGCACCGTCCCCCCCCCGAGCGGGAAATGGGAGCCGGGAGCAGAGTTAGCAGCAGTTTATTGAGCACTTGGCACTGCCACAGCGGGGCGGCGCCGCCCGCCTGCTTTGGTGAAGGTGCCCGCGGAAGGACTCCTGCCTCGGCACCCAAGAGGTAGCTAATGCTCGTCTGTACTCGCACAGTCCCCACGGCGGGGAAAAATAAAACAAACCTTCTTCCACCTTCACCAAGAGCCAACTGTTTCTTACCCCCCCTCCATTTTTTTTTCTTAAGTCAAGATTTAACACGAGTTTAGATTTTAACCCTCCGCTTGCCTCGCATTTTAATTCTCCCGCCTCACCTGTCCTTCTCCCCATGACCTCAGAACCAAAACCAACCCCACGCAGGTCCATTTTTACATTATTACAGTGGCAGCTATCTAAGTTTTGCTGAAAAACTAAGGGAGAAAGACTGACATTTCCATTACATCAGTTACTATAATTGCAAAAACATTTCTTCTAAAAGAAAAATAAATTAAGGAAAGACTCTTCCCTGATCTATATAGGAGGCTGTGTAGCTGCATTTTTTTCTCTGGGAATATATGCTACAGGAGCTACCAACCACCCAGAAAGGCAGTAAACCAAAACCTCTGGCAAATCTAAGTGTTCTAAGAATTCTCCTATATCAAATAAATAAATAGAATGCCAAAATAATAATTAAAAAAAAACCCTAAAATATATTCAAGGACTTAAAAGTATTTTTGTAATAGACTTCAGCTATTTTAAGGATATGCAGGAAGTTTTACAGCACATTAAACGGTGAGACTATCCACTTACCAGCAAATAGTATTCTACACATCGACACACAGATTATGAAACTGCCTTAGTCCTCATCTGAGTATGTAGCATCAGTAGCAACAACCACTGGATCTAGTCTTTCACTAATCAGAACATTGCAACAAAGACAGAATTTTACATACATGGACAATTAAGTTCATCTTATTCTATAATCAAGCTGCCTCTGGATATTCGATTTATAATAATCCTCACTCCATTTTAATCCATAATTCAGGCAAGAGGTATTACCCAGATTTTTTTTTTCTCCTAATACCTCTTCTATATTCTTTACTCGTTTGCCCTAAAAATGGAAACGGATTTTACATACAGTACCACCAGTGTACTTTGTACTGTGCCATCATGTACTGCCTCTTAGACTCCAATGCTTCTTGAGTTACGTAGCCATCTCCCGCGCTCTGCAACCTTTCGCCAGGCCAGAAGCCCAGGCAGCGGTAAGAAGTCACTCTTCATCTAACAGACACATCCATTGTCACTGAAGAAGCAGTCTTCTGCATGTTTCCTTTTTCCTGCTTATTTCTGCCATGTCTCACCAATGACTACAAGTCACCTTTCACCTGAAAGGCCAGCAGTCTCAGCCTTCTCAGAAGTTGACATTACCACAGCACCAAGTTGTTTCAAAACCTATATATTTTAACCAAACCATTTCTCTGTTTTGTAGGAAAACCCCTTGTCTCTTCACATCAGCTTCAGTTCACCCATAGCTACTTCAATATGCTGTATTCTCTTCGCAGTTTCATAATTCCATGAAGAACTTCCCAGATAGACAAAGCTCTCAATATTGTCCATTTTGTTGCCACTTTTTCTAGCATTTACATAGTTTTATTCATTTCTCTGGCAGAAGACCTTTTTCTTTATCATGTCCATATTTATAATACCGTTAATGCATTCACTAGTCCCTTACAGCATGTTGACCTGGTTCTGCAAGCTCTTATTCTCCATGTTTATCTTCTTTTTGATGTTAGAGCTATAATGTGTTTCCATATATTTAATAGTACATTATCAAAATGTTTGAACTACACAGAAGATTCTGCCTGAAATCAGAATGCAAGTGTAAGGTGTAACTACCACGGTCTTACTTAGCTCAAAACAATTCTGAAAGCAGATTACTTAAGAGGAAAAACATTTTTTCTTCCCATGCAAACTATTTTCTGCCCCAGGAACCTGAATAATAACAATAATACAAAAAAAAAAAGTTACATTTTTAGACCTAAGAATATTTGCTACAACTTGAAAGGTGTAATGCCCTGACTCCATTTCCATTGCTTACTTCATAGCTATCCATCTAACAGTCCATGTAACAGTCAAGTACAGTAGTATAAAACTGAATTGCGAAAACTCGATTCACAGAATCACCTTGCTTTTGCTACTTGAGGGTATATGGATTTCTGAAAATGTTTCGCAAGATTAACACTTTTTACAGTCCATCAGTGTAACGTCTGCAATAAGGAACTTGTGGTTTCTATATACACATATCTGAAGATCAAGACCAACTTTTGATAGCAACATACAAAACATTTTTTGCTCTGACACACCTTTGGTCATACCTGTTTAGCATTATAACAATACAATAGCAGCCTTAACCCTTCCCTCTCCCCCCGCCCCTCCCCACACACACAAACAGTACTACACTTAGTAGGAAGCATAATCTCAGCCTCATGGCAAATCTTGTAGAAAAGAGCTGCATTGGAAGAGATGCTTATTCCAAACATGAACAGCAATTCTCTACTGAGGATCAGCCATTTGATTATTAGTCTATGCTACACTTCAATATAGTAAGAGTGCTCTGTTACTGGGAATGGTGATCTTCAGATGAGAAATTAGTTTCTTCTAGCTTGATTGGGATGCGGATAATTCCACGGCACTTTTAGGAAGTAATACAGTATAATCTCAGACTCCCAATTACCATGCCATTCCCACTATGTTTGATGTTTAAGGCCGTATATAAGAGGTATTGCTGAGTACAGTCAATAGCAGATATATTAACCTATAGAAATTGTGCTACCTATACCTCATCCTAGGCTTTGTAAAACACTAATGGTCATGATCTCTCTGTAGGTCACTTGAGAGGAGAAGGAGGAGGAAAAAAAAAAAAAAAGCATTATTTGAATGTCCAGGAAATCAAACATCTTTACAGTAATGTTTTCATGGAAAGCATTTTTGTTTGTTTTCCAAGTTTACTGATATGTGGCCCATATTAGCTATCAAGGATGAATACACAAGAAAAGAGAGGGAAAAAAAAGAAAGAAAAAAAAAACATGGAGTTATACCTTGCAGTTTTTAAAACAGATTCTTTTCACAGTGTTAAAAAGCAGTATTTTTCTACTCCAACTTTGCCATAAAACCAATTATGAAAGTAACAACTCTTGTTTGCTTATATGAAGCAAAGTTTATGGAAGATAGACAGTAATTTCTAGCTTTGAGATTTTTGACTTGTCTGAGGACATTCAGTGGTAAGTGCCCTTTGATAATCTTAGGTATGACAGCATAAGGAGGTCATACCTGCACTCTAGGCAGCCAGCCTCATGCATTCCAGAGCTGCAATTTATTCTCATTTTAAACACTTCTATGCAATGATCGACTAACCCTGCTAAAGGATTCAGGGCTTTATTTTTCTATAATGCATATATAGGTTAAAAACCCTGAGAGCTTTTAAGATAGTGTTCAGTGATAACAGGAGTCTTGAAATAGTTTAGAAAGGGCAAAAAACTGACACAAAAATACTTCATTTTACCTGTAGGGGTCTAGGAGTAAGACTGAGAAAGGTAACTTTTAACAGGTAAGTTTAGAACAAATTAGTATTTAACTATATGGAGTGCTTTCAGTTATCCAGTGCTTAAAAACAAAACAAAAAAACTGGGTTATCTCACAGACTTGTCCTCTTTGCTTTTTCCTCCATCTGCCCAGACACAGAGAGCCCTCTAACTGTACAGCAGATGGTTTACTTGCAGACAACAGGAACAGTCTTTCAAAAGGTGTTAGTCTTGAGTCTCCTAATCAGAGAGAAATGAAGCAATTAACCCCATAATCCACAGTAGAGACACAGACAGAAACCTGAAGGAAGATTGTTATTCACAGAAGGTATCAAGTAAGACTACGAGCGACGGCTGAAGCCCTGCCAGGATTTGCAATACAACCCTCCATCCAAACGTAGCCTTGCAGGGCACACCACTAGCTTAGGTGAGAGCCCAGACGAACTGTTTGCTCCTCTCTCTCATGAGCCCTACAGAGGACGTTTATAAATTGCTTAGTTGACGCAGGTACTGTCATTTCTTAAACTTAGCACAGCCTGAGGCAGTTTCCCTGCATCCAGTACCTGGCTTGCATCAGCTTGCTGACAGACCTTACTGTCTGTAGCAGTGCTACATGTGAATGAATCGAAGTCCACTGTTATATCTTGAACGTTTCTTTCATTGGCATTGTCAAAGCTATTTTTACCATGCAGCTGTTTAAGATGTTTCCTCAGAACAGGTTTATGAGCAAAGACCATGTCACAGTAGTTACATTTATGGGGCTTGTCCCCACTGTGCAGGTTGAGATGGTCCTGTAAAGAACATTTCTGAGAGAATGTTTTCCCACAGATCTTACATTGGAAAGGTTTGATGCCTGCGTGTACTCTCATATGCCGGTGGAGGTTGCCTTTCTGGGTGAATGTCTTGCCACAGAGAAGACACATAAATAGTTTATGCATTTTTAAATGATTAGCATAGTTTTCCAAATGCCGAAATACTCTTGTGCACTTTGGACACTGATGGTGCCATTGCAGACCTTTGTCTATACCTCGGTTGTTAGGCCCAAACATATCTTTAGAGGCCAGAATGATGTTATCACTCCCAGCATATGAAAGGGCGTAGTTGTGCAGGTGGTTTTGCTCCATTTCGCTTGTTCTGTTTTCAACAGTGGAGTTGATTAGAAAGTGTTGAGGCTCTGATGAATGCATTGCAGTTTGTTCAGAAGAAATAAATCTGTTCTGATCCTTCTTATTCCTAACGTCTGTTACCTCCCCAATAGACTCCACCTTGATAATCTGAATATCGCTGTCCTCCATATCCATACTGTCTTCTGAAGGCTGAATACAAGGCGAATCTTGTTGCAGAGAGTCGTCATCTTGATGCTCCTTCAACTCTGAAGAGTCGCTTTGCTGTTCACACTCCTCCTTGCTCTCCAGCGGCTGCTTCGGCTTTATAAACTTCCAGAGCGCCTGCGTGCAGCGCTCCACAATATGGCTCATCTGCAGGAAGCTTGCAGCAGTCAGGTAGTTTACCAGCTCCATTTCAGGAAACTCCAGAATGCCGCTGTAACAGGACAAAAGCAACTGCCTCCCCACTTCCGAACTCTGCAGGATGGAGATTTTTACCTCTCTAGAGTCGTTTAATAAGAATTGATCTCTTAAGAAGGGAGAGCCGGCAGCAAATACAATTTTATGCCCATAAACTTCAATGTCATCTATGTGGACCACGACATCACAAAATTTGTTTTCTTCCCTTAGTTTGTTCATTTTCTGTAACATCGAATCCCCATAATTGTCAAATTTGAAGTGAAGAATATCTGATCTTTCTGACATTTTGGCACACCTAAGGAAAAGCAGCAAGGAAACAAAAAACAGATGAGAACGTTTTTAGCTTTTTATATGCAATTTAGCAGAGTCTAAAGTATGATATGAAGTGAAACGTAACATATATTGTTTCATCCTAGTTAAAATACTGAAATCCATAGGAAGTTTCAACTGAAGTAATCAAGCTTACTCTTCACTGGGCAGTACTTTTTCTGAATTTGTTTTAGTCTGAATACGAAGTATCTTTTCTTTTTTTAACAGTTCTTGCAGGAGTTTATAAGACTTCACTGATGCTTGATGAAACACTGTTCATGCAATCCCGGCAGAGAACAGGGACTGCAGGAAGTGAAGAAATCACAGGAGACAGACTAAAAGATGCAAGATTTAGAGAGATAAGAAACAAAACAACACAAAGCAAAACTTACACCTCGCAACTATAAAAAGCACCACATAAAGCTCAAAAGGAAGCTTTGAGGTTTACAGATAAAAGCAAATATTGCTCTCTCGGGCGTGAAATCCTAGCTAAGTGTACCCAATGAGAAACGGAGCCCTACTGAGCATAAGTGAATGAAAACACTCAAAAAAGGGTTGAAAGAAGAGCGTTTTGGATCTCTCCGTGGATCATCGGGGTTGCTGCCCCTTAGCACCACATAAAGCTCAAAAGGAAGCTTTGAGGTTTACAGATAAAAGCAAATATTGCTCTCTCGGGCGTGAAATCCTAGCTAAGTGTACCCAATGAGAAACGGAGCCCTACTGAGCATAAGTGAATGAAAACACTCAAAAAAGGGTTGAAAGAAGAGCGTTTTGGATCTCTCCGTGGATCATCGGGGTTGCTGCCCCTTGGGGATGGGACGGAACACCGAGACCTGACTGTCACT